ACTTGAATGCTCGACGTGGATATTTTAATTGAAATTCATCATCTCAAGTTCTTGCAACTGGTAGCACCGTTAATCTCCGCGGGATAGTTGTTACAGCTGCCGTCCACGCTTCGAAAAAAGATCAGGTTCAGGCACACTTTAATGTCAGAAACGCACGAGCAGGGCAATCCTGCCCCTTTTTTAATGGACATAAAGGGCGGAGGTGTGAGTTGCAACGGCGACAGGGCAGTCAGCGGAAGTAAGACTTCTATTCAGATTATTTTCAAGGTGATAATATTCCGTAAATTCATATAATACTAACTCCAGCACTTGCTGTATTCGCCAGCTCACTCGCTCTTTCTTGTGAAAGTGGGCTTCTATAGCTCATCGACAGCGCTAGCGAAGGGTAACCTCCCTAGGTTGGCTCTCGTGGGTTCGTCTAACGTGTGTTACAGGTTGGCTCCCCACGCTTACAGCGGCGCGCGGCCAGAAATAATGCACTTCCCGAGCTTTGCGCTTTGCTGCTCGGATTACACTGAGTGGTTCAACACCACGTCGCTTATTTATAGTAAAGGTGTGATTAGCCACAGAGAGCGATGTTGACGCTGCTTCGTTTCCAACATATTGTTTCAAATCCAACTGGCTATTGAAACTGGAGTCGTGATGTGACTTTAATAAACCAACATAAAGCACAGAACTTGATCGTACACCAAGAGTGTAGATTGATATACATTTTTCTACGACCGTGAGCAGTCACATGTAGCTTTCTCGTGACTGAAAATACAACATTTGATGGTAAATTACCGCGTCTGACATAACATATTTCTTACAACATGGCGTCGTCTGCATTTGGCACCGGCGAGTTGGTTTGAAATATCTTACTCCCAGCTAAAGTTTCAAACTCTGCATAGGGCGCTCACCTTTAAATTACTGTTTTGCTTCGAAGTGTACATAGAATGGAATGAGTGAGTCATCATGTTGGCGACGACAATTGAGTAACGAGGCTGGTCACTAAAAGAATGTTGATACATGCACTGCGTTATTAAGCGAAATCGATGGAAGGGAGCACTTCGGTCGAGTATAGCGGTCTATTCACAAAAGCTCTTTGTTAACCATCCTCCTCCCGTCATTCACGCGTTTGGTCTGAACTTCTATTTTGAATTGCTCAGCGGTTGACATGTCCAACGTGCCGCCTAGCACCTTGAGCAACGTTTGCCAAAGTTTCGTCGTAGAGCGCGGAGGTTTATAAGATTCAATGACTACCGACAAGCCCTGTTGGCAATCCACTTTGTAAAATAACAGTTGAGCTTTATCATCACAAGTGGCTTACAGCAGCGAAATGGACCATCTTCAAAGACAGACCAATGAGACTATAACACGAATTGTACCGGACGAGTCTTATCAATAACAGGAAATAACGCCCACGCTAATAGACTGTCACCACTGGCATGCTGACCAGAGCTGTATCGCATTCGGCCGGATTTTACCCCCTTGACACATTTCATATTTGATTTTACATGTTGTGCCACCAATACGTAGCTCTCATCGAACTGTATAACCCTTCTCTTCCAAGGTGGCCACTCAAATGAGTGCTTTGTGCCTCGAACAGCACTCTTTACTTAACATCATCATTGTGAGCACCACTAATCTCTGCATATAGTCTTGTGATAAGCAATTCTTGGGTTAAGGAAGAGTGATAGAAGTGTACAACCAAACAATTTGGTAAAGCGACACTTGAGTTCTCAAATCTCTAAGTAACTGCACTTTCAGCACCGCGACATATGTTGCGTCTGATCCGTCGAACGTACATTTGCTTCAACTGGCAATGTCACCTTTTCCACGAAAAATCATAGTCAGGGCGACGCGAAAGTGGATACGGCGCTTTATTCAAATTAAAGGGATATGACGGCAAAAAATATCTTGATATTTTTCACTGATAGAGATGGAATCACGACGTCGCTGTGATCAATGACACAAGGACTTCATAGATCGCACACGATTTAAAACCAAGCATATCCGTCCTTAACCCTACAAGAGTATATTTATGGCAAGATGAATATGAAATGTTCTTCTTAGCCTCCTTGATCCGGCAAGACTCACATGCGATCACACGTTTGAGTCCGTTGGCACCTGGTCGGAGTGAAACGTTACCAATAGCAACGACCGACATGTCACAGAAGACACGAAGTGGATGATCTGGATTTGTGACAACCTTAATCGTGGCACTCATGAGACTTCTTTTGCCGCGCTCAGGAATCATTAGATTTTCATTGGAGTAAAATTAGTGAAGGGCCGTTTCATGTCAGCATAATTTATTCAATACGTGTACGGGTAGTTGGCTCGGTCGAGTCATTTTTTTTCGGTTCTTTATTTGTGACAGTGGCGCCGAACAGGCTTGCGTTATTTGGTCGCAGATTAGCTCCTCAACGCCGAAAACAATTTTTCAACAACAGTGAACAGCTTATCTCAGTGCATACACTCCTACACAATTCTCGATCTTGAAATGCGTTTTTCCCGATTCTCGATCTTTAGATGCGTTTTTCCCGACATCCCATACTTCCCACAAATTCGTCAAAAAAATATTTCATCGAAGTAAGTTTGTTTGTGCATAGGATCTGAACAGTTGCGTCATTGGACAATTAGCGCCGTTAATATCTCAGAGAGACCCTGTGCATATCCAGCCACTCCCTGATAATTTCGCACGGAGTACTAATTACAGTGTGAGACATGTGGTAGCTTCTAATCAGCAGCCAAAACCCCCACCAATGTGGTCAAGAATTTCGAACAAAGTGCAGTCGACCGTGCTCATTGTAGTACGCCCTTTCTAGAAATCGGAGTGTGCGCTGAAATTCGAGCTGCATCTAACTTTTTTTTGCATGCACAGTTCGTCACTTGTGGTTTGGTTTTTGGACGACGAAGCTGACACCGAGTCAAATCTTGACGCATCCCCCACCCGATGACAACACAAGTGGTAAATTTGTTGTCACCACGTCGTGATATCTTTTAAACAACGGATACAATAGCTCCATAGATTCCCTGAGCATCAATGTTCTAAGCCTCGCATGCAAGGATCTCTAATGACAGATCCATACATGGATCGTAGCTCCATCTAAGTACCCGCTCCGTTTTGCACTTTACGCACTCATCTTCGAGAATAAGTTTTTTCAGCTCTAAAAGCGCGTAGCGATGTGACACTAACAACCCTAAAGACAACACGAAATGGCACATTTACAAGAGGCTAGTACCAAAAGAATGTGTTTTGCTGCTCTGTACGATAGGCGCGTCGCACGGTATTGCTTACTTCTAAAATACTTCTCTTCTTCCGAAGAATGAGTCAATCTAAATGATCCAAAGCCTGAATTCTCAACTTGCAGGTTACAATTAGGCGCAAAAGACTCTAGTTCCCACCTTGAGTACACTATGATAACTCCAAACATCGTTGTTCATTCCTATTTCAGAGGCACGTTGAAGACTACACTTTACGATGAGGCCTTTTTTCCTCTGTAATCTTGGCACACTGCCGCTTCAGTATTCCGAGCTTTGTTCAAGACTGCCCAGCAATATCCTTACAACTAATTTTAATCAATCTATTTCCTGCACAAGAGTAGGAAGTTTTGCTTTCGAAGCTTCGTGCCCTCGTCAAACGCGCTTCTGCTTCATGATAGAGGTGTCTTCAAGGCTCGGTGAAACTCTAGCAACAAAAGCTAGCCTCCCATCGCTCATGGGGTTCGAGACGCACCGTACCTTGGAAAGGATCATGTTTTGAACAAGATCTAGGGTGAGACTAATTGTTTTTCGCTGTCAAAGTATCAAAAGCCCACTCAAGGTCCAACATGCTTTACAACCTTAACGAATATACCCGTAGCAAGACGCACAAATAATGTATACGTTCAACATCACGCGAAACACGTGATTGCACCGCACTGTTGAATTATCAATATTCTCCAAAACTCCACAAATTGTGGGACGTTGGTCCTGACAGCCAACAACATTATTTGTTCCTCCAACTCTCACAGATGTAACTTCTTCGGGTATCATGAAGGCCGGAGATTCAAGTCTCCTCTCTCTTGATCTATCACATGTAGTGCGCTCGAAGAGCTTTTACCTTGCGCACCCGAACCAACCTCGTTGCACAGTAGATGTACACCGCATAAATTGCGATACTACAGGCATACAAAGCGTTACGATGAACGCGGATGGAATGGTCTTGATGCAAGCCGCACCTGTTTAGAGATCATCCATAAAATCAGTAATGGAAATCATATTCATAAGAAGGTCTATCGCCATTACCAATAATTGCACCTAAGTGTATTATAACTTTTGTACATTTGTACAAAATTATATTTGCTGAATGTAATTGTACATTCCAAATATTTTATGGACGACAATTAGAAAATAAGTGTTCATCAAAGTTCTATTTCCATCAAATCCATAAAAACGGCGAAGACTCTCATTTTCATGATACATGTCTTGATCAACAGAGTAGCCTAATGCTGAAGTCTGTGCCACTCTCCACCCTCATGGACCAGTTCACTCGTTGGCCAATACTTCGGTTCAAGTTTAAGAGTGCTCAGATGGTCCTTGCCGCTCAAATCCGTGTATTTAATGCGTACTGAGTCGCTGGCCGACTTAGCAGTAACGATGCGCAGGAAATCGTCGATACTTGTGATTTTAATGCCATCAATTTCTTTAATTCGACTTGTGGGAGGTGGTCCGTAACGAGCAGCCGGGGAGCCAGAGTACCGACACGAGACGTATATTCCATCATCTAACGAAATACTACGCTGCGCGGACACAGATAATGGCGGTGCCTGTAACAGCAAACCCTGCCAGAATACAATACGATTGATTTCCGTACGCTCCATAAACAATGTTTTCACGTCCAATTGCATTTCACGTCCATCACGTACGATAGTGAGTTGTACCTCTGGCTTCTGCGTACAGCGCTCTACTTCCCGGAAGCTCGTCACAATCTTGCCATCCACAGCAACCAGAATATCACCATTTCTTAGAAGATCGTGAGCCTCTGTGCCACCCCAGCGGCGGGCAACGGTCAAAATGGTTCGGCGATCCGGCGCGTCTTTTTCTAAAATTTCGGCTAAAGCCTGGCCAAGACCAAGCTCTCGGGCCTTTGCCAAACTTAGGTGCTCGAAATCAACGCCCAGGTCATAAATTTTCGGAGTCACTCCACGCATTAGCGGAGCAGCACTTTCCATTACCAAATCTATTGGAATGCCACGGTTGAATTGACTCTCCACCTTAGAGTTTCGCCGCTGCTGCTGAAATGAAAAAGAGGCCCAGAACGCGCTCACTTCTCCTTTTTCGCTGCAAATAACACCGCCTTCAGTGCCAACAACGTCCTGAAGAGACACCATTTCTAGGTTATGCTCCTGGTATCGTGGTGGATTAGGCATGGGCAATCCGATCCACTTTACACCAGAGACGATGGTTTCGCGGGATACTAAGTCAGAATGGCCACTGCGGCCTACGCTGCTCATGAGCCCAACAAGCCAAACGGGATCTGATGGCACTAGCGGCTTCGATGCCACTTGACAGCTTTCAATAGGTGTCGATCCAATAAGTTTTGGGTCATACTGCACAATAGCAAAATTATGCACCGGATGCACAAATACTACGTGGGCTGGAATCATGATGGTACTAGCAAAAGTGACCATGGCATCTCCCATCGAATCGGTCACTGTATTACGATCAACGACAACAAGACCCTTCTTAGCATCAATCACAAGTCCTGTGCCTCGGTAATTAGACGTTGACAAACTATTAACACTAAACGGTCTGTCAAAATCCACCGTAACGAGGGATCGTGCAAGCTTGTTTTCTACTGGATTCTTGCCTGGCAAAGTAGTCGTTGAACCAATCGGCTCATCTTGACTTTCAGTCTCATTCTTTTCGGCATCAAACGAGCTACTAGGCAGAGCAAAATTTTGGCAATGCCATGTTCCAAGTTTGTCGTCGCGCACGTACTCACAGAACGGGAACCACCTGCGGTCCACATGCACAACCTCGACCTTTTCTGACTTATCCGTGAGCTTTGAAAATTTAACTACAATGCGATCACGGTCCCTGCACTGCTTCATATAATTTTTTAAAGTATCAAGATCAGGCGTTTTGGTTCCATTAACAGAGTGAATAATAGCTCCGCGTCCAATTCGCGAGCGTTGAAGAAAGTAGCCCGGGTCGGCGACGTACGGGGCTCCTGGGCTCATTGCATGGTTCCTTGCTTGCTGATACGAGAGCGGATTGATGACAGCTCCGCCGATCTCGATAAAGCGCGAAGGAGTAACCGAATGCAAATCTTGTACCTGAACCTTGTGTACAATAGGTTCTCCAGAACGCTCGATTTCCAGCTGAATCTATGGCAAAAATAGAGTGGCTGGTCAATTAGTAATTCCAGCTCAATTATATATTCAGGAAAAACTGATGCTTACCTCTGTGCCAACGTTATCATCTAGAACGGCTTCCAATGGCACAAATCGCGTGATTAGTTCACCATTCACGCGCACCAGTACATCTCCCGGCTGCAGTTTGTTGCTCGAGGGCCCTCCTGGAATCGTTTCGGCAACTGTCAACATACCCGTTTCTAGAGGAAATGAGGTGCGAACGAGCCCTTCTGTAGCGGGATCGACACCTAGTCGGCGCACTTCGTCGAAAGGTTTGTAGTTAAAAACTGTTTGGATGGTCCCACGAGGTACCTCCTTTCCTTCTCGAATCAAGTCAAAAGCGCGCTTGACTCGATCAAGTGGTAGATAAAATGATGCGGAGGTGCCAATTTTTCCACCAGCATTAAGAGCGATTGCGTCGCCATCATGGTTGAGTACTGGTGAGCCAGAAGAACCGCCGGTGGTTCCTGACGAAGCCTGGAAGTAGAACGTATTGAAGTCGTTGTAGCTATTGTATCCATAATTAGGAGCATCACGATCCAATCGGGCCAAGGTCCCACTTGCAATGGCTAGCTTTTCAGCAGCATCATTACCGACAACTCGAATATCTGTCCCAACGGTAGCTTTAGCCGGCTTCAAATGCAGCGAGGGCACCGTCATATGCTTGACGTCCTATTCATCGCAAAATGATTATCAGACGCCATGAAATGTGCTAGAAGTAGACACAATGTACCGCCGGATTAAATTTAAAAAATCCAAAATCATGAACCGGATCGCGATATATCGGAACCACGCGAACTTCCTCATTATTTTGGAAGACGGCCTCGGCATCCTACAATGATAAAAATCCATCGCAGCAATCACTCTGTCAGTGTCTGCACATTAGACAGCAACCGAAATAGTGTATCATACAATGGGACCTGGTCCAACAACGTGGCGATTTGTCAAGATGATTCCTTTCTCTGCATCCACCACGAAGCCTGTGGCGGACCCATTACCTGGCGACTCTGTGTCAAAAAACTATAGCGACCAAGAACCATAAAAGACTTCCAAACGTCAGTGTCGATATTAACACCCAGTAGATCTTTTATTAACCCACCCACCTTAGGCGAGTTGAGCTTTAAGCTCACAATCGCCGGAACCACACGCTCAAGCGTAGCCTTCCAGTCTAATTTATGCTGATTCGCTTCGGCAGCCACGAGCTCGGCCGCAAGGCGAGCACTCAGCTGGCGTTCACGTTTGATCTCTAATTCACGCTGCTGTTTCTCCTGATTGCTCTGACGACCTGTCGTCACGAATAAATACCCAACGAACGTTGTAGCTAGTGCTGCCGCTGCTAACTTGGCATGTTTAATACCTGAAACCCAAATTTGTTAGCTTTCGTCGACTTTAAGCCTCACAAAACTTCGCTACATACTTGAAACAGAAGAGGATGTCGACGACGAGATAGGTCGCGAAAGCCATAAGGGAGAATCCCGCATTGGCTTCAGACGTCGGTATAGCAGCTGTGTGTCCTTTGCCTTTATATGTGTGCGAGGCAAGAGCGAGCGATGCGCGACCATCGCTCCAGCCTTCCACATCGTCATCAAGAAAATATGATCAGTTGTATATCAATATCGAGTTTTTATCCAATATATGGATTGAAAGGTTATCATTCCCTTAGCCAACGCAATGTCGGCTGCTGTGCTCAAAAAGATGCTACTGGAAGCGGCATCAGCGCTTAAAGCCGAACGCTTTCAAGAGGCGGCGGACGCAAGCCGACGTGTAACTCAGTTTGATCCTAATAACTATCAAGCCTTCATGTGCTTGGGGCTTGCTAGTTTGCAGCTGCAAAAGGTCTGTTTTTTGCTTGAGTATAAGGAGTATAAGGATTAATATTATCGGTGATATTTTGGGCGAAAATATAATCTAGTGGGATGACTGTGAGGAAGCGCTTTGCCGCGCAGCAGATCTCAAGCCAGATATGTCAGCACCACGAAAGGTAGGAGATGGGATTAATACCGATTTTTGATTACTAAAATATTGCATGCAGTATCTTGTAGATCTTTTTGAAGCCAAAATGGATTTGGAAAGCAAACTCGATTCGCTTAAAATGCTTGCTGACATTAATTTCAGGTAATTGAAACAATGAAGATCGAAGTAGAGATGGAACTGTTTGATAGTGATGAGATATTTATTGAATCGACCTCAGGATCAAAAATTGGAAGAAATGCCAGAAATGGATTGCTGAATCAGCGACAACAGCGTTAAAGCTGAAGAGATATCCAATGGTCCTGTTAAATTACTACTCATTATTTGAGAGGTGATCCATTGATTATCAGACTGCTAAACTTTTTTTCTTTGATTGGGACGTAGGCTTTTAAAGCATGGTATTCGCTAGTTGGTGAGCAATCAGGAGATCAATGCCAGCTGTGTCTGAGCAAAACATCAAACGAAGAACTCCCGACGGCATTAGAAATCTGGTTGAATTTAGTTGATTTACTGCAGGTGCGATAAGACTTGTATCGTGTTCCTTTGGATAGTTTGCTAATCTCAAAATTATTTTGGTTTAGTACCCAGACTTCAGCTTGACAAGCTGCTATGATAGTTACTCAATGACTGAAATCTCGCGTCAATTTATCGCAACTGCTTCTCATACAGACTGGACGGCCCAGACCCAAGAAATTGAGGCTTTACGAATGCGAATCGATGCTGGCATAGCCTTCTTTATGCGTTGTCATCTGAATGAGTTGAAAAGCGTAGAAGATAAGGCAGGCCTTTTAAAATTTATAGATGCGTTCGCGGTGTCAGTGTTGAAGCACTTCCCGAATTCGAAAATTGCAGCAGAATACATGCTTCTCCGATCGGAAGATCAGGACACACGTAGGTTTTATTGTTAAACTTTGCTGTAGATATTTTAACATTATCGTGAATGACAGCTCTCGAGCAAGAAAAGGCCACACAAATTGCGACTCAGCTGTCTGCAAATTACCCAAGAAGTCCAATGGCGCTTGTGTTTCAAGCAAATGAATTCCTGCAGATAGGAGAGAACAACCAGGTAAAGCTGTAAAATGCTGTCGTTCCAATACCAAGCTATGACGCTTAAATACATGGAATAGGCTCGTGAAAAGTTTGTCGAAGCACTTGCTGGATTTTCTTCCTCGGCTTTTCAAGAGAGTGCTCTCTGTGTTCGCGTTCAAATTGGACTGGCATCAATTGCTGTGGATGCCCATGATGTTGAGGATTGCCTTCGCCGACTATCGCTGGCAAAACAAGTGGTTGCTGATAAGAAAAAACTAATTGGAGTTAAGGGCCTACTACCTACAGTGTAAGATTTAGCTTTCGTATTATACCATGCTTGGTAGCGTTACTTACCCGTGCGGTACAGATATTCAAAAGCAAAGATCCACTTCATGAGGGCGGCTGCACTTGAGTATTCGGGTGAATCCGATAAAGCAATGGAGCAGTATCGCATAGTAATGAAATGTGGCGATGTGATGTTCACGACGAAAGCTGCGATTGCAATAGCAGAGCTTCTTGCAGAAAATGCTAGGTTACAAGAGGCCCTCGACATTATTGACTCGCTCTCGTTAGCTGAAGTAGAGGATCAGAAGATGAGCGCTGTTATCCACTGCGTTCGTGGGTGGCTGCACTTTCAGCTCGGCGATAATGGGCAAGCTCAAGCACTGTTAGAGCCAAATGCTCCCAAAATGTCAAGTACTGATGTTGCTGCGAAAGGAAAAGCGCTTAAGCGGTTGGCAATCGTGTACTGGTATCTTGGTGGTACTTATAGAACAGCGAAGACTGGGAGTTTTGGATATCTCTTGCAGGCTGCAAAGCTCACGCCAATGGACGCCGAAATTTTTTTCTGGCTTGGAAGATGGTATCAAGAAATCGCAACAGATGCTATGCGTGCTGAAAAGTGCTTTTTGAAGGCGCTATCCGTGTCCCCGTCAAACGAACAGGCAGGTGTGGCTCTAAGTAATATGTACGATGTGCAAGGTATGTATGATAAAAATGTGCAGCTGTGGAAGAGGGTGACACAAAATCAGCAAATTTCTCCTAGTTGGGCCCTTCTACGACTCGCTCAACACCTTGCAGAACAAGACGATGAGTCTGCCGTGGACAAAATACATTTAGTTTTGCGCAGTGATCCGAAAAATGCTCGTTATTGGGTGATTTTAGCACATATCTATCAGCACTTTGGCAAGCGAGTGTCCGCACAGAGATCATATCTTAGGGCTATCGAGCTAGGTGAAAATAGCTGGTGTGTTCGTTGTGAGCTAGCTCGGATTGAAGGATCACTGCTGCTCTATAATAATGCTTTAGAGCGTATTAAACCGATTGTAGCTGAAGAATTACCAGACGAAGATCCGAGCAAGACAGCAGCTGTCATGATTTACTCTGATCTGCTTTTCCAGCAAGCAAAATACTTGTGCTCGGAAGGATTATACGGGCATGCTGCTCTTAATTTGAAGGAGGCATCACATATGATGAAGGAGCTGCCGTCGATGTCTTCAAATTCAGAATCTGTGGAAGCGTTCAAGCTAATTGGTGACATTCATTGCTTTGCCTTCTTTTTGTCTCCAGATAACTTTGCAAATGACGGGAGTACGTGGGCTGAGTTCATTAGCACTGGGCGGAAAGCATATGAAAATGCTTTACAGCTTGAAATAAAGACTAGAAACGAGACAAATTGCTGTGACACGGTGATAGGAGTGGTAGCAGAACGATTTTACGACATTGGTCTCAGTTACTGGTATGAAGCTCAGGCTCTTAGCAATACGCAAGGCATTTCCACGTCTGCATTTTCATGTGGGGCGACGTCAAATGTGTATTTGTCGATTGCGTCTTTAAAAGCGAAGGCGTTGGCAAACTTTAAGCTAGCTCTTCAAGAGGATCCTTTGTGTTCGTTGGCTTGGAATGGGTTGGCTCTGGTGTCAGATACTCTGTTGGTGAAACAATTCGCCTGGGCAAGATCCATTCAGAGTAATCCTAGCAATGACGCTACATGGGCCAACTTAGGTATGTTTTATCTGTATTGGACTGATGCTGTTCCATTGTCGGTGTCATTGGCACAAAAATCATTTCTTCAGCTTCAAAGCATCAACCCTAGTAACCCTTGTATGTGGAACGGCTATGCTATGCTGGCTCGTCGCCAAGACAGCTGTATCATGCAACAAAGGAAGACAATAGAAGCGTTTGACTGCACGTTGCAAACTGGATTAGACTTGGATGCTTTACTTGGGGTCAGTATGGCATTGCTTGATTTTGGTAATCATTTGGATGAAACGATCACTCAGGCTCCAGAACACAGCAATGAAGTAGTCTTGTTTTACCTTAAGAAGTATCTTGAGCGAGATCCATTTTGTGGACGTGCTTGGCATGCTCTTGGTGTAATCCAGCATCGACTGGGACTGTACACTGAAGCTTTGGCATCTTACACACGCGCAGCTTCTTGCCCACTAACGTCGGAGGAAGTGGAATGGAATAAGTCAGTCGCAAAATTGGGTCAGCTATTCAGTAATGCAAAAGACACTGAAGCAGATGAATTATCACTTTTGCAAGAAATGTCCGAACAACTTAGTTTATTGTTAAAGGAACCAACACCGTTGAAAACGATTATGCAAGCGCAACTGTTGTACCGCCAGACCAGAGGAAGTGAGGCGCTAGATCTACTTCAGGCTACGCTAATGCTAGAGAACATTCAGTCGAGTGAACTTGAAATTGTTGCCGCTGTCGGTCTATCGATGGCGAGCTTGTTGATGATTGACTATTTGACGAAGGAAAGTAATCTCGTTAGGGTTTGTAAGAAACGTCTTTTGTACTCAATTGATCAAGCTTCAACTCTGGCCGCTCGTGAATACGAAAATTTGCGTGTGATAGAGCTTTATGAAAGGTGGGTAGGCAACGATGAAGACCATTTGACACGTCTGCGGGTATTGCTGCAAGCAAGTGATGGCGCCAACTCCTGTAAACTTTGGATGCGACTGGTTTTGTCGTCAATTGATTCGAAGAGCTATCAGGTATCAAAATTATTGACAAACTACTTGCGGTCATCTGTCAGATCGATGCCGTCTGACGCTTACGAGACCATGGACCGCATTTTTCTCGACGCGTTGACAAGTATTATTAAAGCTGGCCCAGCAGGAGCGAAGGTTTCGTGCCTAGATGCCCAAAAGCTGGTTCGTGCTCAGCCTTGGAACACGACTGCTTTTGTCCTGGCTCTTTCAAGCGTTCTCAAGCGTATAAACGTCCAACAATCGCAAGTTGACGTTTTTCATCAATTGCTGCGCTTGTTGCAGGCCGGGCGTATTTTGGCAATCGGCAAAGAGTACGAAACAGCTCAGCTAGATCTATTGACAAGCTACTGCTACATCAGACTCAATGAGCCTAATGAAGCAACTGCGTTTTCCAATAAAGCATTAAACCGAGTGAAAATAGGAAAGAGAAATGGTGATATAGCACATTCAGTGGACACAGATTTATTGGAAGCACGCTTGCTCTCGATTTCAAATCGAGAGAAGGCAATAAAAAAGTATGTGGATGTCATTACCACCATTTTAACTACTGTTGCACCTTCCTCAAAACGATACATTCCGATACTTTTTGAGTTTGGCGGGCTTTACGAACAATGGGAGCTCCTTGATGGGGCCTTGATAGTTTGGAAGCTTGTTGCCTCGTTGACGGCCACGAAAATTACTGCGGGTGACGATGACGTGAATAACAAAAGTACTGATTCGAGTAGCTTCAGCGATAATGCTGCTTGCTTCTTGTCAAATTTGCGGCTAGCAATTATTCATGGTAAAAAGGGCAATTTAAAGCCTGCGCGCAGACATATCAAGGCGGCTGTAGCGCTTGCCGAAATTATGGCAGACTCAGACTCCTCCATGGTTGCTGCATTTGTGGAGAGCGTGCTAGCTTAATAGTCATGTGAACGTTATGTTGCACTAAGGAGTGAATTCGATTTTTTGGATCTCTATACTGTCTCGTCATGTGGACCTATAGCTTGCAGCAAGAAGTACTGTTCGTTTGGTAAGATTAACAGGGTGTAATTATTCTTACCATTACTCAGAAAGCCATGCTCCCGTCGCTGTAAGTCTTTTTTCTTCACGTTGCTGCTGTTAGCTTTGGACTGCACCCATGACACGAAAACATCAGGAAAGCCCCAGACCGTCACCGCTCCCCACGGCAGGTCGCCTCTTTTCACAGCAAGCTGTACCTTTTTGACTATAGTATTACAAAACGGAGCAGCTAGCAAACCACGCCACCTTACTGTCGTGATTTCACATGCTGATTCACATTCAAACGAATCAGGAATGCCTGTAAATGTCGACACGTAATCTTCCGGTTTCTCCCTCTTAAGCAGGTCGGTGAGTCCACAAGCCACAAGACCCAACCATTCGTAGGCCTCATGTAATGACGTCCTCAGCTTCTCACCATCTCTTTCACCAAGCTCTTCCAACGCGCATAAATTAGAGTAAAATGCGTCAAAGTGAGGCAAAAATATATCACTGAACGTTGTCAGATCAGCGTTCAGCTCCAAGCGTGAACGATGTATTTGATCGTGTTCAAACAAGATTGTGCGGAGCGCTCCACGCTGGTTATATGCGCACAATAGCATATTTAGATCCTGCAGTTTCGTTCGAAGACACGTTCGCACCTTATCTCGAACTTTGTTTTCCTTATCTTCCGCAAATGTCGGCGAAGTCAAATCTAGTGTGATCACGTACTTCTGGGCTCGTTTTTGGTGGGCAGATCTGCAGGCGGCAGGTAGCGCTTTGCCATATTTTTCCCCGACTAATCCTAATTGTTGGTATGTATCTACATCCACCAGCAGCAGCAACTGGCCCGACGGAAGCAACATTGCCGACTGCGATGCATCTACGGCCGCGTTCTTGGCCAACATAAAGGCAGTATTGCCTTCCATGAGGTACTCGCGAATAAATGATGGCGATAAGAACATGTCCACTGACGCCTTAATTTCGTAATAGAATCCCGTCTCCCACTGCAGGAGTTGAGCAACAGCCTTTCCAGCACTGGAAGGTAGATACACTTCGAGCTGCTGGTTGAAAGCGTGGTTGCTGATGATACTCTCGTGGCGAGATGCGACATGATTAAAGGTAGAGCGCCACACAAGGAGACGAGAAGAAGGGTATCCGCAGGCTCGACTGCTTTGCAGTAAGGCACCACCATTTTTAAGTCGGTCGTGGCGAGGCATCCATCCACGTAGAAATTTGACGCCGACAATAGTAAAGTGGGCTCATTACCCAAATTTTGTGCTTTAATTTAACTTTATTTTCTTGTCCAATTTGTAAAAGGATAGCTAAAAATAGCGATGGCTTTTATGTATCCTTTCAAAGGAGGATCACGAAAATTGTCATGATCTTCGCGCCTGAATCGGCAAAATATAAGGCAGAACATTGTAAAAGAAATCTGCCTAATTTTATAATTATATCATCTGAATTTAACAAATAATATTTAGTAGATATTCATTTTTCGTACAGACTGGCAACTACGTTGGGTTGATTGATTCCATACAATCTTTATTCACTCTGAGTAAGAGTGAATGGCATTAGTTCTATGTATTGATCTGAACAAATAAATGTTTTTGGACCACGACTCCATGTTCCTGCCTTTCGAGCTGGCTGTTTGGAAGCACAGAGCTACGCTTTGACGTATGTTCACAAATGTCCTCAACCTTGTGGTTGTCCGACCTTTGTGTCATACGTCACCCCGTAATCATAACAAACGCTCGTATAAGTTATCGCTGCGATCGTCATTTTTCACAACTGCTTGTGGTATGCAAGAAAAAGACTCACTTGGGAAAAGATAAACTTTGGGAGGCTCTAACAGCAGGCCCTTGATGCCAAGTGCAGACCATCAATACAGACATTTGGCAAAAGGCATTCTTGTTGAACTAGACACGCTCTCATTCAGCTATTGAAAGATCTGACAAGCCCGATCAGTTCGAATCGCTGTCTTGTTTGTACGAGCATTAATTACCATTATGCCTTGTGGTACATACTAGTATATCAAGTTGTCTCTTATGTACAACCGCTCCAATACCTTGTCATCCAGTCGTCTAGCTGGGGTTCAAGTTTTTAGTAACAGAAAAGTATTGCAACCATGAACGGCGTCTCAAATCACAGACGCTGTAGATGAAAAGCCTGATTCAGAATAACTCGCGCTCATCATTGGCACGCTCAAGCAGCCTTTGCCTGGAACTGCGAGATTGTTATTACCAGCGACATGCTCAACGAAGAACATGCGTTTGTTGGCTCGACAAATTCTGTGCCGCGTCATGCCAAATCTTGTGTTATTGCGTATATGCTTCTGGTTGTGTCAATACCAAGGCAACAGACTCAGCTATTTTGCCGTAGGTGCAAAAGGGCAATGTGCGAGATCTCACTGACTTGTTTACATACACCAAAGTATACGCAACAATCTGCCAATTGATTCGGCTTCAGCATGAGCCTCGTCATATTTACTGGAGATTATCGCAAAAGCGTTAAAGTTAAGACGTGAGCAAGATGATGGTGGTGATTAAGGTGTTTGCAGTGATGACTCGTAACCAGACGGAGCCCCACGCGTTCGTGAGATCTCGGTAATCTCCATTTGACTTCGACGGAATCGGTCGTGAGCTATCAGAATATCAGCTAATTGTGACGATTCGCGATTTGTGGCGACTTGGCGAAAAAAATGTCCATGCATATGGAAATATAAAGTAGTAAAGCTTTGACGGAATGCGTCAAATGCATGCTAGGAAGTAGTATAGTATTAGGACAAAGACGTCATAGCAAATTGGTTGTGGATACGTAAAGCGGTCTCGTGAATCGTCCAGCCACAGCAGAAACATTTATGTCCCAGAATCATGTCAACATATACCACTCTCTGGGCATGCAACTCAATGCTGTACAATAGACGGCTTAGCTGCGGGTAAAAAGAGAAATTAGTATGTCTACAACATAGGCACAGTGTCACCTTCTTTAAGATAGCGTGAAAATCTTCACGCATTTTTATTTGATCAAAAGCATCTTTACAGGCCGCAGAGAGTTTTTAGTACCTACCACAAGTACAGTTTTGCTCCATGTAGGAACCGCCCATATACCATGGTCTCAATGAAGCTTATGGTTAATGCAGGGGGGCTGCCGTGACTCTTTCGCTTAGAGGAAGCTTGTTTAAGATTAATTGCCTCGATATATAATTAGAACCAGTACGAGTGTGGTGGATCGCAATCCACTTGCTCCAAGAGTAACTACAACTGTAACGGATTACACGTACCCTGGTAACAGGGATATGTGTCACACGAGATGTGCATGGTGTGACTGCACCCAAACAAGAATACGGTATGTGGC